CAATGCTCTGACTTGAGTAAATTTTCTGGATTTTCTACCCACTGAATGAAAAACAAACATGTTTTAACCACAAACTCACCAGACACAGAAACAAACCTGCAGCTTTTGTTTTTTATTGACAGATTTGGAAATATTTGTTTTGATTTTGTTATTTTTGTTATTTATATGAATTATTGTCATTTTCATCTTTAAAATACCAACATTTCCACTTAACTTTCTATTTTGGTGCATCTGATGATGTAATTTTTAAATATTAAATGATTGATAATTTGATCAGTTACTCAGTACTTGAGTTGACTTTTTACCAAATACGTTTTTACTTTTACTTGAGTAAAAATATGTTGAATTATTTCTTCTTCTCTTATCTGAGTATGATTTCTCTGCCCCCCCGTTGCCCCACATCCAGGGAGAAGTCTCTTAGTGACCCAAAGAAGTCCCTGTTGGCGTCGTGACTCACTGTATGTGTTCCAGAGGATGTAGAGAGGCTGGACCGGGTCCTGGTGCAGCTTCAGGTTGTCCCATAGGATCTGGATCAGAACATGTTTGCTGTCCTCGGACATCCAGTGACGAGGGACCTGACGACGGACAAAAACACCCAGTTACTGTCTCCTCTGGGTCTTTGGGAGCCAGACGGAGGCGGGGAACCGTTTCGGACCTGGGAGTCTCTGTTGCAGTGCTCGGAGGTGAGGATGAGGCCCGGCAGGTTGCTGGGCAGGTCCAGCCGCCGGAAGTACCACAGCAGGTTCCAGTAGATGATGGGGTGGTGGTCCACCATGTCGGCCTCGGCGATCACCGGGTCGCCCTCGTTCTCCAGCAGACTCTCCAGCTCCTTCCACAGAACCAGCGGGCTCAGGTACGGCACCGTCACGGGCTCCGGGTTGTGGAGCTGCCAGTCCATGCTGAGCGGGTCCTGGTGACGGATTTACAGGCATTCATCACAATTAGTCAGTTTATCGAATGCTAAATTAAAACAAACCCAATAATATCCTGAGGCGGGTAGTAACTAGTTACATTTACCTGATTACTTTTACTCGAGTAAAACATGCTGAAGTTGTGCTTCTCTTACTTCAGTACAGTTCTGATCACTTCCATTTACATTATTTTTTGTTTCTCTCTCCTTTTCTCTCTTTCTACCGAAGCCTGGATGATAAAACTCTTCAGTTTGGTGCTTTAGTCTCAACTAGCCGTTTTTTGAAGGTTAATCTCCATAATTAATTTTATTTGCTGGTTTGTTTATTTATTTTGGATATTTTAAATGTCTTCCAGGTCCAGTGCTAAATGTCTCCTACAACCTGTTCTTGCATTATTATGCCATTAATCAATAATCAGTTTATTTGTATGGAAACATTTCAGCAACAAGGCAGTTCAAAGTGCTTTACATCATAAAGTTGTAGTTCTACCGCCAGATTCCTCATGTTTCACTTTGAAAATGAGGAAAAATGTTATAAGTGAAGTAAGTAGAGAAAGAACTAGAACTTTTTCATCAATATCAAGGAATTATTAACTTAAAAGCTACTTTGAGCTGGTTTTGTCTTATTCTAAGTGTACTGAGATATTTGCACTAGAAACTAGACCAGAAATACATGATAATATTTTCTGTTTTTGCAGGGAAACATTGATGAAACTCTTTTCCTGCTCCCAGCATCCTCTGACCCCGATCTGCTCACGTCTAAACCGTTTCAGTCTTGCCTTTCTGCCTCGTATCATTTCTGTTTCCCGTCGGCGTTGAGACGCACCATGGCTTCGTTCAGATGGCTCGGCAGGCTGCCGGACGTCGGCAGGTGGTGGCTGAGCTGGGACTCTTCCTCCATGGGGCCGAAGGCGCTGACGCTGCGGGTCATGGGGCCGCCGGAGGACAGAGCCCCCTGGCGGCGATCTGTGGGGATGTTGATGCCTTGAGCCCTGCTGGGCCGAGTCCTGAGGAGACGCAACAGATCCAGAATAATTCAACACTGCAACAGCCAGCATGAGTTTAAAGGTGATCTAATATGGATCCTGGAACAGGTTAGGACACGTCTGTGGCCTATTCAAAACATATTCATCACATTTTTCACACAAAATCATTCTTAGATGATGAGATTTCAGTTTGCTCAGTTCTGCATATTTTGTCCCTTTAAACCCAAATAATCTGCTGCTGGCCACGCCCCCAACTCAACACTGACACATGAACTAGGAAAATGGCCGCCAACAGATGCGTAATTCTATAACCTTACATCTTTGAAAAGCATTAGTGGGGCCTTATCCACAATCAACAAGAATGCAGCAAGTGGTTTCTGGATGGTAAATCAACATCAAAACTTGTCTTTTCCAGCAGCTGTTGCTAGGTAACGGGCTATGATCGGCTGGCGTTGCAAAGTAACAACACAGTCCCTGTGACTAAATAATTAGGAGGTTTTTGAAACAGCTCATTTTCCAGACACCAGAAAACATGAACTCATTACTCAAATGTTTTTTAAGCATTGGGTTGTTTTTAGAAGCAGTTGAAACCCACATGGAAAAA